TATATATATATATATATATATATATATATATATATATATATAGTGTTACATCATTTTCAACCCCCTTTTTGGCATCTGCATTTGGTAGCAGGCCAAACTGACAAAGAACATGCAGAATAATGTAGTATTTTAATTCCACAGCAGAGAAAGCTATGTAGTCTCTGTAAGTAGGTCTAGGGAAAAAATATTGGTACTGGTATCGGATATCGGCCAAATAAGTTTTAACATATCGGCAAATTGGATATCGGCCAAAAATCCAATATTGTGCATCCCTGGACAAAAACATTTTGCTTAGACTTGTTTTGGCTACACAACTCATGTCAGTGTTTTTCAAAGTAAAAACATAAACACCAGTAAATAAAAAGATGCAAGTCACCTTCTTTTGTCTGGGTCAAGACGGGTGTCTGGGTCTCTTTTGTGTAGGACACAATTTCACGTGGTGGGAAGTCCACTTGCGTGACTTTGGCCATTCCCAGCTTTGGAGTTACACGCCTAAAAACAGAACAACTCAAACTTTGCACAACATCAACAAGAAACAAATGACTTTACCAAAGCAGAGCAACTTTAACCATTTTCAGCTCATTTTCTAACATCGCTCACGTTGATATGAACTCCTAAGCTGATCAAAAGTAAGTAAATTAGTCTTTCATGCAACAGTCAAGAGTTAAGAATAGTTTAGCAAACATTGTAAATTATTTGTAATGTTATCTGACCTTTCTGCCATGGAGACAACACTGTTCTCATGGTCTGAATTGACTAAACGACTCTGACAGACAAAAATAATCATGCCATAGATTGAGAGAAGGGAAAATGACCAGGAAAGGAGAGAAGAGAGTGTCCAGTACCCCAGCTCAGAATCAGAGTGAAGCTGAAGAGTGGATGGGTCAGAGTCCCAATGCAGAGTCCTGATTAGTGTCACAGCAACAAGGCAGCATTAGTGACAAAGAGACAAGCAAGCACAAAAAAGGAGAGGAGATTATGTTAGGATTATTGCACACAGCATGCAGATTCAATATTAGCTTGTGAAACAATTACATTTACATGTTATCAGAACACACCGATAATTTGATCCTTATTTTAAAACTAAGCTTTAATCTCTCAGCATTGTAGCAATATGCATGGTGACAAATATGCTCAGAGTGGGATTAGAGGGCGTAACACGCAGCCTACGGAGCTGATGCAGCCCAAACTGTGTCACACCAAAGACTGTGAGTGTTGTGCAGCTACGCAACCCTCTGGGAGAAAACATGACCTCCATGTGTGTAGGAAATGGCCATGCTGGTGAGGGAAATGAGTCAACACATAGGGGGAACTGCTCACTCGGCCTGATGGGACACTGGGGGAGCTTGAATTTCAGCCCAGGGAAGGGGCTCTAATTAGGGGTTAAGAAGTCCCCCAGGCATCTCAACAGCCTGCTGTTTTACTGTTAATTTAGGATTGTTCTAGTTCAGTGGCACATAAATGAAATAAACATGCACTCAAGTTGGCATAAATTTGTCATCACTTGCAACAACTATTCTGAGCTGCGCTGAGTTTAAGCTCAGCTGCATGCTTTACAACGATCCATAACACTTGTGAAGCTGCAAAATGCACGGAAAGGTACAAAAAGGCAAAATATACAAACTTCTGCAGGCAATTTAAATGAAAAAAAAAAAAAGTGCTGCTGCACAACATGCCTACATTTTAAACTATCACAATGTAAACTTGTTATTTCTTATATTTAAAAAAATCCTTGTTACAACAGAAACTATATAATAACTGTATGGGCTGGACTGTAAGGAGATCTATAATGAAAGTAGGCATTTTGCTTCAAGGATACTGGATGGTGGTCACACGTGTATGCAGTTGTGTACTGTGGTTCAGACATTTTCACAGGTGTGTGTGTGTGTACCTGGGTCCTGCGGCTCCATCAGAGTCCTGGCTTCCTGCTTCACTTGGCGTCTCAGCCGATTTAGCAGTAGGAGATGTCGGAGGAGGGACTGCATTAGGAACAGTGTAAATTATTAAGCCACACTGTTTGCAACATGATAAAAGAAAGGCTTCAATAGTTTAGTTGTTGCAGTTGATAAAAAAATAATTCAAATCCTGATAGGGTACACTTTTCCACAAACACAATATTAGGAGTGAATTTTGTAATGTGTACGAAGCTCTAAGTTTAGCAGCAAAACAGATTACAGGAGTTGAACAAAAGCTGAAACAACAGCAGATAGGACTTTGATTACCAAAAGATAAAAGGTGTCCTAAATGAAAATGTTTGATGAGTTAAAGAAATCATAACCAAATATATCTAAGATTTTATTTTTAAAAAATGCCAGCATGATTTCTGAGTTGTCAGCTTCAGTGCTGTCATCTCATGCCACAGATTTGTTGTGGATCTCTTCTGCCACCTACTGGTAGTTTAGTAACAGTGCTCGATACCTGAGTCAACGCAGATGTTTACACCGAACACTGTTTTTATACTGCATTCATTTATTAGTGCTTCTTTCTCAGGCCAAAAGTTGTTTAAATTGTATTAAAAGACAGAATTATGTTTAACAATTTCATAAAACTCGTTTAGCAATACATGAGGAATACATTAATGGTGTCTTTTTTTCTTTTTAAACATTCACTTTTAATCTAATACTCAAAACTTTTTTATGTCAGCCAGTCAGAAACATTTTTTTATGTTAGCCCCGCGTCTAACCAAATTAGGTCTTTATACTCAGGTCTTAGTCATTCTAAAAAACAAGTCAATTAGATTTTTTTTTATGAAAGATGTTTCATTCATTCAAATTCATTTCATTCAAAAAAGTTTAATACGTTCTTACAAATTACTAAAATTAAGTTGTTTTTAGGGCATTTGAACCTAAAAGTGTAACTCTCGTGCATCGTGGACGCACCCAGCTAAGACTGGGGCTCTTTTAGACTGCTAGTGTTAATGTTAACACCCTGAGACCTAAGGCACAATATAAATAAATTCATAATGTAATGCAGTGGCTGAAATGTGAAATAAAACAGCAAATTAAGAAAATCATATTGTTGCCAGACTGGTCAAGAAGGGAACAGAGATATTTATTTAGACCCCCATGTGTTTATCTAATGATCACAAATTTAAACAGGCATCATGGTAGCCACATCTGGACACTCCATCCACAGGTAATATTAAACATACCAGCTGAAACATCTGTGATTATGCCCACACTCTGCAAAAGAGCCTCTGCTTCCCGTCTTTTTTTCTCCAGGTCGGAGTCATCCTGCTGCAGTGCAGTTTCTTTCAGCTGAAGGTCAGCCTGGACAAACAGTGAGCCAAGGATGAACCAAAGTGACAGACATCAAACTCAAAATGCGCACGCACACACACACACACACACACGTCTCATAGATGACACATTCCTCTGACAGATCGGTATTACTCCAAATAAATGAAAATAAAATTGACATAATCCAATAAACTGGATTAACAAAATTTCATGTAAGGTGTCACAGAAAATAGCAAATATTAACAAAATTGATCTCAACATCAGTCATACCAATAAGTCTTATGTAAAACTGATAGAAAAGACAAAAAACAAAGCCTAATTTATTAGAAAGCACTGAACTGCTTCTTTTTTAAGACAAAGTAAATTTTTGCTAACTTTTCACATCACAAGGACAACAAGTCACCACGTTTTAAGAAGGGAAAGAAAACTTATCAGTGGTGATAACTTGTAATATTCACTGAGATATTAGTTTAACATATACAAAGTTTCACTCGTTTTGATTCAATAAAAGAAATCCCATTTTTTACACAATTGTACCTTCTTGCGCTCCTCCTCCTTCCTTCTTTTCTCCTCTCGGATTTGTGCCAACCGTTGCTTCTTCCTTTCAAGCTCTGCTTTCAGCTCACTTTTGTCAGACATGATTCCACAGCTGTGTACAAACAAGACACGCTTTAGTTCCAATTCTAATCATTTTGGAAAATGTATTTAAGCTAAAATTTGTTCATATGAGATTATAACAAGAATAAGCATCTTCTAACTGAGAATCTCAGCTTCAGATCACCGTACGAGAAAAACTTCCAAACTTTAAGTCTTAGACAAAACAAGACAAATCGTTTGTTTTTTGTATTTTACTAAGTTAAGTATAAAAAAAATTGCAGATGATACATTTTTCTCAAGCACAAGTAGTTCAGGTGTGACACCAAATATGTCACAGTAAGAAATTTAAAACACCAAAACATTGTTTTTAATTTTCAGAATGATAAAGTACTGACAAGTCTTAAACCACCATCAACTTTTTATATTTTGTTTAAAGAAGCCAACATTTCTTGCAATCTTTTAAAATGGTCTTAGGACAAAGTTCAACATTAGGATTGTGATGCAATTTTTTTTTAAAGTTAGGCCAAAAACCAAAAAAATGAACATACTGAACATCAAACATATAGACAAAAAAATGATAAATGGTCTGCACTTATACAGCACATTTCTATCTTATTAAGATACTCAAAGTGCTTTACACTACAATCATTTACCCATTCATACAGCGCTAATAATCTCTACAAAGCTAATCAGAATCTGTAGAGATTAATCAGTGCTTTATCACATCCAAACACCGATGGGACACACATTGGAGGCAATGGGGTGTTCACTGTCTTGCCCAGGGACACTTCAGCATGTGACTGCTTGTGGAATTGAACCCCCAGCTCTTGCACTGGAGGACGGATGACTGCTCTAACCACTCAGCCAAAGCTGACAAGTAGTTTCGGTGTGACACCTGACACAATACTCTTACATACTCTTTTGTTGCTACACCAATAGAAGATGCACATTTCAGCAATTTGACATCCTTCAACTGATTCCTCTGCTGTATTCTAGCTTTTTCATTTTGTTAAACACATCCGTTTTGTACAAGAATATTAATTTGTGTCACTTAAGTTCTTGTCCCTAGGATTTTTTTTCAATTAAAAAAAAATAGCAACAGATTATTTGCAAAAACTGCCAAAACCAATGTGCCCACGGATCCAATTTAGGTTATTTCCTAAGATTACATGGCTTTTTTATATACTTAAAATAGTTTATATGTAATGTACCTAAAACAACAATAATCAACACTATTTTAATGTGTGAAGAATGAACTGAAAATGGGAAACAAAAATAAACAGTCAATTCCAAAAGTATTCGTCGAAAAACCTTCAGAAACCCAGAAAACTACTGTAAATAATTGCACAAGTCTTCTTAAAATAAAAACTTAAGTGAAGGATGCCCAAACCTTTTGAACAGAAGTTTAACAAAAGGACAAATTATAGCTACTATATGCTCACACATTTTTACTGCAGTAAAATCACAGTAGTCAATTTAAAAACAAGAAAATTTAAGAATTACAAGGAGGGTCTTGCATGCAAGTTGATGTTACTGGTTTGACCTAATATTAACTCACTTTTTCATATTATTTTACAAACAACTGAAACACGTCTCAAGTCTAATGAGTATGTAACATTTGTAGAAACAGTTCAGTGTTGGAATATAAAAATACACAATAAACTATTTTTTAGAAAACAAAACTTTTCACAGGTCTCTGTGTTTACATGTTGTTCAGTAACGCTAGCCGCTGAGCCCCACCCTACAGCTGCTAAAACCCTTTGTCCAGTTCATCCAGTAGGTGGTTTCTTTGTTTTAGGTACATATCTTCAATGATTTCATACATAAGAATTGACACTTCAACCACCGATAAGGTATTATCTGACGTAAACACGTTGCAACTGAAAGAAGGCTGTCAAGCGGCCTGATGCTACCGCTAATTAGCTTGTTAATCATGATTAGCCACGGAGCTAAATTAGCTTGACTACAATGAAAAATTGGTGGCAAGTGACACAATGTCATGTGTAGTTTAAGGTTATGCATTGGTGATAGCGTGTTTATTTTGTGCCACAGAAAACCAGACATTTAAACTTACTCCCCATCTCCTACAGCTTGAGAGGCTAAGTTTAGTTAGCGGCTATACCCGGATGCAGCGCTGTCATGCGATTTTAACGCTGCTGAAAGGTAAAAAAAATAGCCAATTCAGCTAAGAATAGTGATAGATAAATATCCCATGTTAAGCGAGTAACATTACAGCAGTCATAATAATGAAAAAACACAGAAAACAAACCTTATGGCAAGTGTTGTGATCACTAAAATCAACACAAAACAGTGACTCCCAACCCAACTACAGGTCCTGAGAAGAGCCAAAAAGTATCTAAACCATTTGACTGGACTAAGCGAAGGGGATGAAATGAAATAAAAGAAAGGAACCTTGTTGTTATTAAAAAAATATATATAAACATTTTTCCTTTCTGAAACATATACAATACAAATGCAAGGCACATAATGTTAATAACAAAATATTTATTATAAAATTTGGAGAAAACAGCACAACATATAGAAAACAGGAAATCTGTCATGATCACACTAGATGCCTTTATTTTAACAATATCACTATGATGCCATATGTAGGAAATAATTAAACAGACGAGAAACAAAAAAGGCTGAAAAACTATATGCTAACAAAAGTTTAGGTCATAAATGAAATATTATGACACAAATACAGTTTTTAAACTTTGACTCTCCATTCATTCAACCTTTATTTATACATGACCAGCGTATGTTGCTTTATAATACATTCATCATCATTGTATGTGTGTATGTATGTGAATTATGTAAAATTTTTAAATTACCTGTAATTTATTTATCATTCATTTTCAAACTGCCAAACTTTCTTGTAAACTTTTAAAAAGTGGTCGACTCAATAGTTCTTCGGTCTTGTGAAATGCTTTTTTTTTTTTTTTGCCTTTTCACTCATTTACATTACTTGATTTTAAATGTGTGCCTCTAAGTGTAAAAGTGGGGCACAAAAGAACAAGTGTCAGGCCCTAAATAAACTATCTACAGCAGAAAACAACAACAAAACCTAGCAGACCTGATATGGGACAGGGATACATCAATTGATCATTTACTGTATGTCAAGTCCTCAGCCAACAGCTTTTTAGGAATCCTCTTATTGGAGCTAAAACCCTTATTTATATGTCAAACTGTTTCTCGTTGGCATTTTTTATTTGATTCAACTAAGCAACAAAAACAAATTCAGTTTTTGTGACAGAACGCTAGTATGAATGTGCCAAGAAATCTTATTTAAAATGGCATCTTTGTTAAGCTCTGCTATGTGTTGACTTAACACACATTCATCGCTTGAGTTTAGGCACATTTTTATATCTGAATGATTCATAAGGCAGACTTAGAAGATTTAAATAAAAAAAAAGAGGAAAAAAGAATGGAGGCACTTCCTCTTAAAAAAGGTTGGGCACTGAACTGAAAACGAGTGAAAAAGCTGCGTTCTGAAGCGATGTGGGATCATTTGACAAACAAGCTAATTAATAAAGGCAATTAATATTTCTAAAAGAACTTTGGAAAATGTTCTTCACAAGCCCATATTTATGAAGATTTAAGGTTTACTTACATAAAAGCTTACATAAGTAAAAAATAAATGTGGGGTGTCTGGACATTTTGCTGCATTTCTTTTCGTTTATTTCACTTTTTTCTGTATATTATTGCTTATAATCAGTCAACCTGATTGTCTACCGGTGGTTTATTACTTCTCCTCCTGACATCTTCACCACTCTCAGCATTAGTCTCATCAGTCAGATCAGACAAGGCCGGACCAACTTTGGCATCCTCCCCTCCACTGTTGGTATGCAGAACATGCAGGGTCTGGTCACTGGGGCGTTTCCAAGACGTTCGAGTGGCAATCCAAAGGATGAGGGCTCCAAAAATCACCAGGAGGAGCCCCAGGATGTTGACAAAAACTGCCTCTGGTGGAGAGTCCTTATACTTGGGGTTAGTCCTTTGATGGAAACAATGGTTGTACTTGCAGTTACACATTTTATAAGCTTTTTTAAAGCAACATTTTTACTTTTGTTTTTAATACTTACAGGCCAAAAATGAGTTTCTCTGTGATGCCCAGGAGTGCCACGGCTATGACAGTGGTAAAGAGTAAAAGACCACTGTAGACATGGATGGGCATACATGCTGTTCTCCAGGACACAGGTGTAACAGGTATCAGGTACAGGCCAACTCCAAGAACAAGCTGCTCATTGAGGGAAAGGGGGAGAAAAAGCTTAAGATACTTTACGCATGACGATTGGTATTCATCAGTGCTGTCCAAACCACCAGAAAATGTTAAAACAATTCAACAACTTGAAATATAAACTCAGAATTGATTATTAAAGTGTTTCGTTCTTGCTGACAAAACATGTATTTACCTGTAGACCGTACAGTATAACAGCTGTAAGGCCTATCCAGCTGTGCAGACTGTACATGTTGGGAATTTTGGCAGCATTGTGGAAGTCAAAAACTGCCACCAAGGCGATAACAGCAAAAAGGAAGGCTGCCACATGCAAGCCTGCGTGGACGAACTTCATTATCAACTTGCTGCATTGCCACGTCCAGGGAAGCCTGTAGACGATTATAGCTGCAAGAGAGGATCAGATCAGGTTTTTTTTACATTTTCACTACCTGTTTCGGTGCAGTGTGTCATATGAAAAAGGGGACAAAAGAAGAAGCAAGACTAAATTCAGACAAAGTGAGGTGTTAAAAATGAAAACAGGAAAGACCTGGCTGTAGATGCATGATCATTCAGCTGGTCATATGCCAAGTTTTAAGCTAATATTTAATCAGGAATCACCATGGTGGTGCTAAAATGTCATTTTAAGTGTCAAACTGTGCTATCTTTGCTATTTTACATAGATTTAACTAAATAAATGAGACCAAATATAGGACCATTATGACATCCTGAAAATAATGTGCCTAAAGATCCACATTAAAATAAGCCGCCTGTTATGTTTCGACACAACACTGATTCATCGCTTAAGACACGACTATTGTTAATGCCAGAATGAGTCATGGGTCGGAGTTAAATATAATGATTGCAATGTCATGAAGACTAGATGAAAACAATTATTACAGAAACTTGAATAATTTTAAATGTGTCTTTAAATTACAAATTGGAAAGCAAATGCCATTTATGTTTTTTTTTTACCTACAAAAAGAGCCAAAGTGACTAAAAATAAGTCAAACATTAAACTCGCTGGACAAATTATTGTTGTATCATTGTGTTGTTTACCTACACAGACTACGACCAGCCTAAGTAGGTCAATTGCAAACGTCTAGCTTCCATCTTTAAATAGCTGATTCAGCTCGCTTTGTTTACACTGAGCGTGGACCCGCATCTCACAGTTGCAATCTGAAAAACCAATGGAGTAAACTCATTTAAACTGCATCGTTTGACATAGTTCATAATCAACTTTATATGTTTGATTTCATACTTTTCAGAGTACCTTAACAAACAAAACAAAAAACATTTCTCTGAAAAGGTCTGGTCTAAAAATAAGCACAAAAAAAGCAGTCAAAATCCAATCATAGTGACTACTTGAAAGCAAAATATGAACAACTCGACTCTTTTGCACATCACTCTGGTAAGTTATTTGCTCTTATGCAACTCCTAAGTCCTCCCTCCCCCAAACTTCTTGTGTAACTTGACGTTTTGTTTACATTCTTTAGGCAGCTTCAACTTTTCTTTTGCATAAAGTTCTTCTTAAAATGACGGAGAGAGAAAGACATAGTGAGTCATCCTACCTGTGCCCTGCAAGAAAACAAATCCAGTGACAACCAGCACAGGATGCCAGTTGAACTCAGCCAGACTACCATCCCAGCCCAGACCCTCCTTAAAGTGAAGAACCCATCTCAGCACGAATATGATGGCGACGAAGCCCGCAGCTCCGGCAGCACACAGAGCCAGCAGGAAGTGCTTCAGGTTCTCCATCTCTGCAGGAAGAAGCGTCGAACAGCAGCTGGTTCTGACCAGATGTTCACTTGCACAGACTAAACAAACTCCAGCAGCCTGCAAAGGAAGAAGCGTGATCACGTGACCGGCTGCTACGCAAGAGGGGAGGATAAGTGTTTGAGCTCAGACCGCGGTAAAGTTAGTTTTACATTGGACGTTAGATATATTCGAGCTCCGCGGCTTCAGCGGGGTGTTGCTCTGGTCGATCCGCTTCAGGCTGTCTGATTTCGGTCAGCCGCGCTCAACCTGCCCCTACTCAGAGACGTAATGGTACGCTTAGGGACCGTCAACAAATAATCGAACGCAGTCACTCTTCAGAAACACTGCAGAAACAAAAAGCAATATATTTTACATGATTTGCCCCACTCACAAAACTTACACCAAACTACTCTCCAAGATGAGTCAGATGAGGCACACCTGTTTATTTTTTATGCATTTCATAATTTTACCTAATTTAATATTTCATAAATCAGACTTTTTGCTCAATAGCGTCCATGTCTTTTGATCCACGCACACAAAACTTACACCAAACTACTCTCCAAGACCAGTCAGACGAGGCACACCTGTTTATTTTTCATTTTTTATGCATTTCATAATTTTATATTTCATAAATCAGACTTTTTGCTCAATAGCTTCCATGTCTTTTGACACATCATGTGTGTGGTGGGTCACATGGGTGAAACCCGTGTGCATCGTCTGACTAATCTTGTAGAGTAGTTTTATCTAAGTTTTGGGTGAGTGGGGCAAATCATGTACAATATATTGCTTTTTGTTTCTGAAGAGTGACTGCGTTCGATAATTTGTTGACGGTCCCTAAACGAACCATGACGTCTCTGAGTAGGGGCAGGTTGAGCGCGGCTGACCGAAATCAGACAGCCTGAAGCGGATTGACGAGAGCAACACCCCGCTGAAGCCGCGGAGCTCGAATATCCAACGTAAAACTAACTTTACCGCGGTCTCAGGAGGACAGACGTGTATCTTTGTGCTTGGTCTCCACCTCAACAGAAGCTTTTAAACACTGTCCTCTGTGTAATGACAACAGCAGTGAAAGCCTTTAATAAAGCAGACTGGAGTGTTGTCATTGTTGGAGGAAGCTGAGGGTGTTCCAGTGTCTCAGTTTGGTAATTGAATGGTCACTGCAGGCAAAATAAAGTTAAGTTGTACAACTTCAACTCAAGGAAAAAAAAAAAGTCTAAAAATTAGTCATTTTGAATTCAGTGCTTCTTATTTTTCAGCGCAATATTCTGAAATTGTTCTACTATTATTTGATGCAGCTGTTCTGATCCAACCCCTCTAAAATACTCTTTAAATGTGTTGGTCTTTTTACTGAGCTGTTGCCAACTAAATACATTCAAGTCATTCACCAGTTGCCCCAGTTTCAAGATGTGTTGCTGCCATAAAATTAAATGGACCTTTTTTTTTTCCCCACAAAATGGTACTATATCATAACATTTACTCCACTATGAATAAAATATGGTCTTGGGAGATTAGCAAATCATTGCATTCTGTTTTTGAACATTTTACACAATGAATCTGGTCCTCTGGATGGATTATTGTCTTATAAGCAGCATCTTCTAGTGGATTAACCAAGTTGCTGGTGACAGCCAAAACTAGTTGTTCGCATGCAAAAGGAAGACCATCAGATGGTTAAAGTGTCCTGCTGTTTGGGTTTCTCTTCTGCTTTCAGGAAGGCTCAGTAATGTTATCTGTTGAATAAAATAAACATCCCTTTATCATTGCATTACTCAAATGAGCCACAGTGAGGACATGAGACCTTTCAGCCCAGTTTACTTGCAAGGGTAGTGTCAAAACAGGCTCACACAGATGTACAAAAACTACATGCTGTTGAGCCTCAGTCGCGAGATCTGCGCAGACAAAGAGGGAAAGCTGCACGTTCTGATAACGTGTCGACCTCGCTTCTGATAGGCGAGATCAAGACCTCTGCTTTCCTGCTTACAGACGAGAAGGACTTGGAGTTATCAGAGAGGAGGCCCCGTGCGTCTTCTGCAAGCTCCCCCCTGAGCAGACAACTCTGAATGTAACATTAGTAAGTGATAACACAGTAGGTGATAAAAAATAAAATACATTCGTACGCATCCTTTATGATTGCTGTCATCACGCTTTGTTAAAAGTCAGGTCTCTATAGTAAATGAGTCCCGAGGCTCAGTGGGATTAACCTGTATAAATAAAGGTCGAATGAAACATCCATGACCTTTACCTGAATTTTCCTGACTACATCAACTAGTTTTTTTTTTTTCCACCAGCAGGTGCTGCTTAAAGGAATGAGTTGGTTGCAGCTCCTCAGACTGAAGAAGTCTTTTGGATAAAAGACAAAACGTTTCAACAAAGATGAATCCATCCAGAGGACCTGACTTAACCTTGTTACATTTATCTTCCTGGATTATTGAGCATGCATAAGTACATTTACACAACTTTTTCAGAATTAAGGTGTTACTATTAGTTATGTAACCATTTTTAAATGGGATCTTCTGGCCACCCTTACAAGGTGCTTATTGTAAGCACTATTTCAAAGTTGCAAAGTACCAGTGTTTACTAACAAGAAAAATGCTTCTAAATCATTGGACTTCATAGATAACAATATGCAGCCAATGTAAAAAAAACTAACTTAAAATATTCAAAAAAGCTCTTAAAAGTAATGCTCCAGACAATTACAGTAATCATGTTTGTTTTTAAAAGAAAATATTAAAAAGGTGTTTGAAGTGTTGTGCACCATATCTGTGTGTCGACAGGGTAAATGAACATTGAGAAATGTGTGGGATGCATTTACAAAAAGTAAGTTTGTGAAAGCCGTATTGTTTAATACACAGGGTAACAGTTTCAGCACTCTTGTATTTATATTTAATATGAGCAGCAGATATTCAACCCCTGTTGTATAAACTCATGATGGAAACACACGATCAAGAGAGTAGCAAGAAAATACATTTTAATAGAGAAGTCCAGAGGTTTGACAGTTTTATAGTTTAGGAGTTTACAAAATCTTATACAAATGTTATTCAGTAAAAAAAAAAAAAAAAAAATCAAATAAAAAAATAAACCAGCCGCTAGGGAGCACAAGCCAGTGCATCTGTAATGTTCTGTAGAATGGTAATGTTCTAACAAGTGAGGAGAGTGTGACAGGAAGATGGAAGGAGTACTTTGAGGAGCTAATGGATGAAGAGAATGAAAAAGAGATAAAAGTAGAAATAATAGAAGCTGTGCACCAGGAAGTGGGAAAAATTAGTGAGGGTGAAGTCCAGAAAGCTCTGAAAAGAATGAAGTGGAAGGCAGTAGGACCTGATGACCAGTGGAGGTTTGGAAATGTCTTAGAGAGTGAGGTTTTTGACTCAAATATTCAATGGCATATTTGAAGGTGAGAAAATGTCTGAGGAATGGAGAAGTGTGCTGGTTTCCATTTTTAAGAACGGGTGATGTAAAGAGTTGTAGCAACTACAGAGGAATTAAGTTGATGAGTCACACAATGAAGATCTGGGAGAGAGTTGTGGAAGGAAGACTTAGACGAGAGGAGACTATTTGTGAGTAGCAGTATAGTTTCATGTTGAGAAAGAGCACTACCAACACCATCTTTGCTTTGAGGATGCTGATGGAGAAGTACAGAGACGGTCAGAAAGAACTCCATTGTGTCTTTAGAAAAAACATACAACAGAGTGCCGAGGGAGGAGTTGTGGTATTGAGGAAATCTGGAGTGGAAGAGAAGTATGTTAGACTGGTACAGGACATGTATGAGGACAGCAGGACAGTGGTGAGATGTGCTGTAGGAGTGACAGATAGCTTCAAGGTGGAGGTGGGATTGCATCAAGGATCGGCTCTGAGCCCCTTCTTGTTTGCTCTGGTGATGGACCGACTAACAGATGAGGTCAGGCAGGAATCCCCGTGGACTAGGATGTTTGCAGATGACATTGTGATCTGTGGCGAGAACAGGAAACAAGTGGAAGAGAACTTTAAGAGGTGGAGGTGTGCACTTGAAAGAAGAGGAATGGAAGTCAGCTGTAGTAAGACAAAGTACATGTGTGTGAATGAGAGGGAGGCTGGTGAAACAGTGAGGCTACAAGAAGCAGAGGTCACAAAGGTGCAGGACTTCAAGTACTTGGGATCCACTGTCCAGGAAAATGGGGAATGTGGTAAAGAGGTGAAAAAGAGAGTCCAGGCAGGATGGAAAAATGTTTCAGGAGTGATTTGTGGCAAAAGAGTGTCGGCAAAGGTCAAAGGACAAGTTTACAAGACATATATTGTATGGTCTGGAGACAGAGACATGGACAAAAAGACAGGAGAAAGAACTGGAAGTAGCAGAAATGAAGATGATGAGGTTCTCCTTAGAAGTGACAAGGAAGGATACGATTAGGAATGAGATCATCAGAGGTACAGCACAGGTTGAATAAGGACTCGTTGGAGAGATGTCTACAGGGTGACCAGGGAACGCGGTGGAAGATGTTTGGGCCTCTCTTCTCAAACTGCTGTCCCTGCAACCTGACTCCAGAACAAGCGGCAGATAATGGATGGATGAATGTATTGTGAAAAAGAACATCACAAAATATTAAAAGTTTTTATTATGTTTTCAAGTGGTGAGGGAGTCAAGGGAGTGGTGGCGCAGAGGTTAGAGAAGGTGAGCCTGCGATCAGAAGATCATCGGTTCAACTCCCGGTACAGACAACATCAAAATGTGGGTGGGATAGGTGAAGCACCCACACCTGCCTCCACCCTCATTTGCCCCACTCTGGTCCTTTGAGCAAAGAACTTAACCCCCACCATCTGCTCCCCCAGGTGTCCTAGATGACAGCTCTCTGCTCCACACAGAGGGCTGTGGTAGCTCGGTGGTCTGTGGTTGCATCAGGAAAAGCATCTGGAGTAAAAATAAATGGCCATGTCTTCGAACGACTTAGTTCGCTGTGGTGACCTCTGAAGAAGGGAGCAGCCGAAAGAAAAAAAAAAGTGTTCAAGCACTTTTCAGCCACTGCAGAACCAGTTATTGTCTGACTGTCCTGAGCTTGTAAACATGGCAGCTGAAGCTGGTCTTTTTTTGTTCAATGTGAACAATTGTATCTTTGTCAAAGCACAACACGTGCGGAAAAGTCTGGAACAGAGAACAAAAGAACTCAGTGTGTTATTCAGACGACTTAGAATAGTGACAGTTTTATAAAACACTCACCTCATCCCAAATTTCAGCCAGATCAATCTTTCTTTGCAACGTCCCTGTCTGGTTGTCATGCAGTTGGATGTAACCACATGCTTCTTCTTCCTCCCCGTTAGTGACCACTGCAGCCAGAAGGTCAAGCTCGTCCTCACACTCCACCAATCGGAAAGTCTGCATTATCAAACAAAGGTTTGAGTACTACACATGTAACAATGTAGCTGTGCAAAGCTTTTTTTTAAATAAAGATTTGTTTTATTTCTTCTTTTGTCCCACCACCCTGTGTCTAACTCCTTTATATAACTAATTACTTGGAACAAATTTAGTGTTCTGATGTCAAAGTTCAAACTTGTTTCAAAAGACATTTCAGATTTATCACAAAGTATAGGGAAGATACATTTTGTAAATAGTTTCATAGACAAGATTTTCATATTTTCTTTATTAATTTTAGAATGGCATGTGTTTTTGCTGAATTCAGGACTACAATTATGACTGAGGCTATAAAACCCATAAACCTTTTCTTTTGTTGTCATCTTACAAAGATTTGGACCAATCAGAATCTGTTACCTATAGAAAAAGGTGTGTTTCACCAAATACAGCAGCTCAAATTACTGGCTTATTTGATTTAACTAACTGAGTGAAATTAAAGTGTGTTTTTAATTGAGACAAAAATGCTTCAGCCGATATCTTGATAGGGATTTCTGGGAGTGTCGGACCCTTTTGCAACAGTTTATACAGAAAACCTTAGGATGGTTTTGTAGAAAAAATAAATACAAATTAAAAACAAACACACAAATAAGTAAAATTTAAGTGAGACTGATGCTAAATGTTGTTTTTTTGAATGGACATCAAAGTAGCACTATATTTGTTTAGTTCCTGAGCAATTGCAGTCAATCCAACAAAAGAATACCCCAATTTAATTACACAACCCAGCTCCAAATATTTTACTCAGCCAGTCTTCTTGGCTTGTACATAGTTTAATGTGTTTAGACCAAAGCATGCGGTCGGTTAAGCAGCAGAAATAAAAAAGCCAGCATGTTGGTACCTCTTGACCTGGGTCATCATCCAGCTTTTGAAATCTCTTCTTCACTGTACGTCCCGATGACGTGACGGTGACTTCGGAGGAAGGCTGCAAAACATTCAAACGTTCAATTATTTGAGTAATAAAAAAAAAAACGCATTAGCAACTCGTTACATAAAGTCCGTTAAAAAAAACCAACAACATTACATTTGTCTTGTTTCGATCGATCATCAGAGAGAAATCCTGTAGGATCTTCGATGGCAGAGGGCTGTTTACCTCACCCATGATTTTTAGGACACTTCAATACAAAAAGTAAAGTATGATTATACAGTACATATCAGTGACGAAGAAGAGCAGACTGTGCAGTTGTAAATAGTTCGAAGCTGACTGGAGCACTCACTTCATTTTGGTAGGTCCGATGTGGATGATTCTCCTCGAGTCGGCCGGGTGGAAGAAGATTGCGTCACTCTCAAGACAGGAGCAGCTCATGTTCTGTATTCCATTTGTTGCCTAATTTTCACAAAAGTACATTTTTAACACATTTATTTTACTCACTTTACAGGTTTAGCTCAGATCTTTTGAAGTGGGATTCAGTGGAAAGGTTACGAGTAGTTTTTATTGTACGTTACCTGTTATTAAAAATCTTTTTGAGCAAACTTAGTTTGAATAAATATTTAATTCTGATCCAATGAGAAGGGGTGCTCTGCAGACTGAAAGTGGGTGTTTTTAAACAATAGGTGTTTCTAAAGGGCAAACACTGATTGGCTAGCTGAATTTGCTGGCTCCTTAGGTAAGTTACATCAGCTCTTTTTTTTTTAATTGACGGTTTCTAAGAAACAGTGTTATATCTACTGTAAAACACAAGAAGATTCTCTTTTGTTCTTGGGTTGTACCTGACACAGGTTGGCTTGAATCTGGTCTGGGTACAATGAAATATGAAGCATCTGAAGCAAAACCTGCTCCCATTTGTCAAAAAGTCTGGTCTCAATTAAAGGTCACGAGTCCTCTAACGAGATAATGGCCCAAAAAAAAAGCTAAAAACAACATTTGCTCTTTAGAAGTGTCTTCTATGAGATCTGATTTACGAAAGGAGCTGAAACATGGAGTAGGATTGACCTGTAAAATGTGAGACAGTTAACCAGTAAACAGAAATACCTGCTCCAGTTGCAGAAATCTTACAGAAACTGACAATCACTCATCTGCAGTGACTGATTTAAAAGGTTGAACAAGAAAATGTGAAGTTAAAGGAAACATCCTTTGTCCCAAAGCCAGTTTAAGTATCATTATTATTTTGGTTACTTTATTTTTCTTTCTTTATGAATTGATTTGAACTATTTTCACATTATTCAACAACTAAAATGGATTTTTTTTTTTATGTAATGGCTAGGTATTAAAAAAGAAACATTTAGTCCTCTTATTTTGAAATGTAACCGGAAGTTCTGTGTTAAAATAGAGGCGGAAAGAGAAGGTATGGAGACGCCGCTAATGTCGAACTGGCTAATACAACCTGCCTGAACCTCTATGCATTACTGCTTCGTGTCCCCCCTAGCATTTTGTTTGTATTATTGATGTTGATGACTGGTTAACAACCAGAAGATTTTTTATGTATTATAATTTTCAATAATTAAAAATAAATAAATAAAATATGCCTGCCGTCTTCTGATACCTTTGTCCAATCAGGTGTGGCCCTTGAGTAACACCTTCCGTTGGGAACACCTATTTGTCTGCAGAGATACCTACTTGGATCCAACTGATGAGCTAAAAGCTTGTCTGAGTGGAGTCAACGTCAAGTGGATTGCTGACATCTTATACATTTCATAGCAAACACCAACACCATTTTACAAACTTGTGCACCGCTGTCAGTTTCTCCATTAGTTATTCAAGTAAAAAAATATTTAGGGGTAGAAGTCTTTAGGCACATCACAGTTCAATCACAATTATAGGGCTGCAATGATAAAAATTATTATTGATGTCTCCCCCCCCTCCCCCAGTATACTATATTTACACACACAACTATGTGGAGGTGAAAGATGACTGTGGTTTAGCTATTTAAACAAATTTCAGGTCATCAAAGTGTTTAAATGACAATCTCCCATGTGGCATTGAAGAGCACGATTTACTGTTTCTAAATTATAAAAATTCTACCAAAAAACAAAACAACAACACAATTTAGCAAAGTTTTTACACGTTCATAATAAACTATTGATGTTAGATATACGATAATGTGTTTTGTAAAATGTAGAAAGATTTCTAAAAAATACCAGAGTGCCATCCTTGAGTGAACAGATGTGGTGAGTCCCCCTCTGATTTCGTTGTGGTGGAGTGTAAATGAAGTGCCACGGGTAGCCGCCAATCTGGACACCGTTATTAGAGCTTGCCTCAAAAAGTACCGGGAGAGAATCTGTGCCATACAACAGAAGAACATAGGAAGTTTGTAAAGTAATCATTCTTGCTCACCATTGCCAGGTACGCAAATTTAAATCTATTAAAGTGTTTCAACACCCGAGCTGTATTATAAATTACTAACCTTGTTCGTGTGTTTATAAAATAAAAAAACAAGTAACTAAATTAAAGTCACAGTCACACTTTTGACAGGTTCAGATGTACTGTTTGTTGTATCCAGCTCAAATACGAATAATAAACTTTGAACACAAAAGATACTTCTGGTCTAGACTCACCGGTGATGTGAATATTAAGTGGGATGCCAAATGGAAAATCTCCGACTTTTTTGCCTCCAAGAAGTGAACATGGCTTTCCCAGAGTTAATGTTTCAATTAGGTACTAAAAAGAAAAGGCAATCCAAAACACCACATAAATACAAATGCAAAGAGCAAAGTGAAACAAAAGGAAAACTCTTAGATTTTCAACCAAACTATTAATTAAATGCAGGTTCAAAAACAATAGTATTGGAAATGTGTTCCATATAAATACAAACCCTTTGGACAATGTGTTCAAAGCTGTACAGTCGCACTTTTTTGTTGCTGTACGACACTGCGAGGACCCCCTGAGACATTACGACATCAGTAATGCCACTTCCAAACCCCTGAAAGAAAATCGTTTACATCTCAATACCATTCAAATGTCCTAGGCAGAATTAAAATGCTAAAACAAAAGTCTGCATACCTTTGTGTTGATTTCGAAAACACCCACAAGTTGTAAGGGGAAAACATTAAAAACAGCCAGATACACAAATGTATTGTAAGCGATGCCTGCCTAAAAATAAAAAGAGAAAAAAAATAATCACTCAACCTTTCAATACATCATAAAACATCTTATAGCACAACCAGCTAAATAACCTTTTTATTTAAATATGCATAATACCTTAAGTTTAACAAGTCTAAAAAAAAAATATATATATATTTCTCACAAGTTGTATGAATATGCTTACTAGAGTGCATTAGTACCTGTCTTCCTAAAGGCGTTTCTTTGTTTTGCAATGTTTTAATATAAAATGTTTCTTGAGAAGCATTCCACCCGAGATATCTACAAAACAAAACAAAAGATCCTTTAAGGTTTCAAATATTAAAATAAATAACTAAAGTTGAATCAAATAGATTACAGCCCCTCAAGGTACTTGAAATTGTAGTGTGCAGAGAGGTAAACACTTTGCAGCTCTTTCCCCGTTTCGGCTGAAAAACGACGGAGCCAGTTATTGGATGTGAGCGTCAAGAGGCTGGGGAAATGATCTGAGGTGGAGGGTAATGTTTTTTCCTATTAAAAAAAACCCCAAACAAACAAGCAAACAATCAGTTAAAAGAACATACCCAATATCAGTTTGTCGTGGATTGTTAAACTGTGTTAATGGCAGGTAGCGGCTTCATAAAAACCTTGTGAGAAACAGTTTTACTTACAAGTGGACTCTGACAAAGCAGGGCATCTTTAATTTTCTCCTGTTTGGACCTCTTAGACAATCTGTACAAACAATGAGGCTCAGCATGGACACTGAAAATACAAGATTTAAGTTATTTTACATGTTCTGCCACGAGCCTTTTCATGCATTGCATTATATAATCGATATGCAAAAGTATTGATGTTTTTAAACAAAATCTAAAATGTTCAAATGTATTTCACTTGTGGATGGATATACGTATATTATGAAAATTGCCCAACTACCTAGGCCAGTCTGTATGATTTTAGAGAGAGTTGCAAACTGTAAGAATAATCTTTAATTGTGCGATGACAAAATCAGCTGCAATAAACACACAATTTCCTTGCTCCTCACTTTCAAAGCTACTATTATGCCTATTATTTAAACAAGTAGATATATTAACACGCAGAGCATGAATGAATGATACCTGAAATATGATGGCCTACAGTTTATTTAGGCAGTCCTTTGCAATACTGATAATGCTCATTGCAGTGACAATAAAATTGTGATGAAGTGTGCAGATCTTAAGCGTACAAGGGTCTATACTTAGAACAAATACAACACTAGTATATAGATTAAAATAGTAAAAATATCAAGACTATACTGAAAACAGTTCAAGTGTAATATCTATACTCACCAGCTGTAGCAGTTCTGGTAATTGTCAAAGTAGATGTTCCCATTCTCATACATTATTGATGACTTTGAGGTCTTGCTCCATACTTTAACGAAAGCCCTGCTGTCCTAAAATGTGACAATAACCATGAAACGTTATTTTTAAATAAAGATTAAACATTCCAACGCACTGTGCGTTTGATCACCTCAAGGAGGATGTCTCTAAAGAGCTTCAAACAGCGTCGGTATAAACTCCCAGCATCTGCGATTCCTCTGCTCCTCAGGTTTAGAAGCTCCGCGGCGTTTACGATGCTCTTCCTCCGGCGTGGCGCCATCTGCAGGTCGCGTTGTGCCCTACAGGCGGAGCTGATCTCACAGCGACACAAACTACGACAAACAGCAGGTAAGGACTGTGTAGCTCAAATGTTGTAACTATTTCGAGTTTTTAACTCTTTCGTGTTTAACTAGTTCGATTTTGAACGGGTGGCTAGGGAGAGGGCCCCCGGGCACACAGGAACCACTTGAGCATCAGCAAGGTGCTATTTATAAGAGTGAGATTGTTGCAGCACCTCAGGCTGAAGAAGTATTTTGGATAAAAGACGAAACGTTTCAAAAAGAAAAAAATCGTCTAGAGGTACTGAATTAACTTGTAAGTTGTAACTATTTGGTAACCGCTGCAGTCCACATGATGATGTGCCTGATAGCATGGTATCTACGATACAACTTTTGAACCATGACTAGTCGTTAACATTTTTATATGTGTATCTATCACAGAGATGAGAAATTTGCGGTACTGTTTGTAATCAAATCGTTTAATACCTGGAAATGAATCTCCGTTTTCAGTGACGTTGTGAAGGAAATTAGCAGTTAGCTAGTAAGTTTTTTTCTTCAAATCGTCTTCTTCTACGGAGGAATTAGGCGCACACTACTTGCGTCAGAACTACAGCGCCACCGGTCGACGGCTGCTGTGTACTACAAACACTTGTTTTCCATATTTTTAGCTCTCCAGTTTTAAAAGATAAAATGAAATACAATAAATAGGACGCATCTTAACAACATTGAGAAAACACTTTCTGTTAAAAATGAATAGCAAAACAGGAACTTTTTTTAAATCTTGTCTAAAAAAAGTTGCTAACAAAATTATTTTTGTTTGCTCCAAACAAAACAATGTATTTATATATTGTACACTTATTAAGTACTTTGCAGATTTACTGTGCATTGGGCAAAAATATAAAATATAAAATTTGACAGTAATAAAAGTAAACACAGGCGCCTCCAAAAATGTTTTTTTTTTTCTTTTGTGTGTGTGTGTGGATATTCATGCTTTATTCTCCTCCTTTTGTTATGCTTACTTTTTCTGTTTTGACTATTTGTACAACCAAAAACTGGTCCTGGTGAATTTTTTATTGGGTTTTAATAGCTAAGGCTTTTATTAGCTTTTATTTGCCCTGGCTACATTGATGCTGTGTGCAATAAATGAACTCTTACTGCTTTTTTTTTACAGAAAAATGCATAAAAAGTGGAGCTTCTCTGCAGCCAAACTGGCTTCTGTCTACTTTAAATTGTCTACCAGATTGAAGAGTTCTGGTGTAAGACCTAAGTCTCCACTGGGCTCACGGATTCTTACCAGTCCAGATGACATCTTTAATCACAACACGTGGTTGGTGATATAATATCTTGGTAGAAAAAATATGCAAATGCTTTTTGTTTCTACTTTTTTAGATGCATTAAAAATGCTTAATAAATGAGCACACAACAGATTATGAACACTCATAAACTGTTACTGAAAGTTTACATAACTGTTGTTTAAGCAATGATTTGTCCATCAGGGATCATGTGCAGTGGACAGAAGAGGAGAAAGAAAATGCACGGCAGAAAGCAGAAGAAAATTCCAAGATAAGACTTCCTTTAGCAGAACAAGGCATGAATACATTCCCTCACACAATGCTGTAATTTATAAAATTACATCAGACTGGGTTTCATTTCAAAATAAAGTAATGACATTTTTCCCGAATTCCCTTCATTCAGGTAAATTTGACACCAACGCCTGCCAGTATTGGGACACGTTTTATGAGCAGCACCAGGATAAGTTCTTCAAAGATCGCAGGTGGCTGTTTTCAGAGTTCCCAGAATTGTTTCCTTCACATTCAGAAGAAAGGAGCTCAAACGCATGTTGTAGCAATCACCAGGCAGGAATCTCAATTCGTAGTAGATCCATGACAGACACGGAGACGGGAGACCCTGAACACAATGACCCCATTCACCACCGCCCAACAACAGACCTGTTTCATGCTCAGGAAGCAGTGCAGGAGCATAATGAAGCTGCTACACAGACCTCTTCTTTCCCAGGACAACATGCATCTTTCAGGATCTTGGAGGTTTTAAAATAAATCACATTTAGTCATTCATTTTGAATTGCTTCACTTAGTTTTTAGATATCCTGATGCATGCTCAATAATCCAGGTAGAAAAATCCAAAAAAGTTCAATGTGGTCCTCTGGACATTCAAAAAAACAAAAAACAAAACAAAGCAAAAAAAATGTAGAAACGTTTCGTCTCTCATCCAAGAGACTTCCTCAGTTTGAGGAGCTGTATTCAGCTCAGTCTCTTAAATAGCACCTTCTCAGAGTGGATCAACCAGTTTTGCTGCTGACAACCAAAACCAGCTGCTCACATGCTCAAGAAGGACCATCAGCCTAACAATGGATCATTAGCACACTGATGGCTGTTTACTGTTCACAGAGGGCTGAGTGATACTAGCAATCACAGCATTGTAAGAGGGAGACAGTTGAACCCGGAGGCCTCCACCCCTGTTTAACAATGGACGATTCCTTTTCACAAAGATGGCCTCCTTTACTTCTCTCTCAAACCATCGTTCCTCTCTGTCCAGGATGTGAACATCTTCATCCCTGAAAGAGTGACCGCTGGCCTG